ATTATACTCTTAATAACTTTTACTAGATAATGATGAGAGTAAATATTACTTGAATTTGTAGCATTTAAATTTACTTAACAAATGTTAGTTCAAATCGTTTACAGGATTTTCTCAAGTAAATCTTACAAGTTATTTTTACAGTGTATGCTTACAGTGCCTTCCAAACACTTGGAGAATCTCCTTCCCTCTTTCTTTGTGTTGATTTGTTATCTTTGTAGAAGATTTGATACACAGTGTGTTCTAGGAACTCCTGTTGAGCCAATAAAGCTCTGAACTTAAACACAACGGCTTCAATATACTTCCCATTGTCCTGCACCATGTGATTCATCTTCTGTGAAGGCTGGAAGAATGTATTTTAATACTGAGGATTAAACTACAACTCCCAGCTCCTCTCAGCAGACTCACTGTTTTTCATTAGGTTAAATTAGAAGTCATCGACAAGCCCTAGCTGCCAGAGCTCTTAATTAGAAATGACCCTTTCTTAAAGCGCTGTGACAGATTTAGCCCCATGGCTTCCCCTTGACCCTTCTCTTTTAATAGTTTTTTTCTTTATTTTATTCTCAGATGGTCACTTTGGAGATCTCAGAGTTGTCAATAGCAACTCTCCCTCTTCTCCACCACCCCCAGCCCTGGTTTTGGCAGGGAAATTGTCAAATATCCTGTGCTTCCATGGTGTGCAGCAATAACCTTGGAGTCAGTCAGTAGAAAGCAGCCTTAGACATCAAAATGCAACAGTCTGGACCCAGTACAACTGCTGAGTAATGTCTCTGTGTGATAAGCTTTATGCTTTGGTCTGTTAAAAAGATGCACTTTTCCACTGTCCTCCTTAAAAGCAGGCATCTTTATCACATCTTTGAAGGATAAGATGTTTGAACTAAATAACAAAATACCAGAGGGGGCTGTGGTAAGGCACTGGGGATTTGAAATGAGTCACACAAAGTTTTAGGAAATGTTCTGAAATATATTCTCAAATAAAAACAGCTTTTAAAGGTTTATTCCTAGAGTTTTTACAGACTGGCCAATACCAATGTTAAAGCTGATAAGTTGTGCAACCCTATTTCTAAGCTTTTTGTTCCTGGGACCCCTTATTTTTGCAACAAAAGAAAAGTTTTATTTTGTTTCATAAAAACATGAAATAATTCTTCATCTCCATTATGGCGTGATGATATGGCTAAACTTTACATCATGATTTAACTCAATATAATATAGTTTTGATATCCTTATTATCACGTTCAGTGAGTGGAGTAGGACCCATAATGCAGACAAGCAGGCAAGCAGCTCAAAGTAAAAATATATTTATTAAATGAAAAGGCTGATGTGGTGGCAAAACAGAAAACTCAAAGCAGCAAGGAGGTACACGGGAGGAAGCCAGGGCAGAAAATCAAACAATGACCGAATGCTAGAGTGAGGAAAACAGACTGACTAAAATACAGGACTGGGATGAGTGAAAATGGAAATAGCTGAGCTAATGATAAGTGAAGGCAGGCGTGAATGGAATGATCTAGAGCAGTGGTTCCCAAACTTTTTGTCTTCTGACCCACAAAATATCCATGGCAAAAACTTGTGACCCCAAATATTACTGGTCTGAGTACATGAACTT